GGTCATCCAGGGGTGGGCTGTGGGAAGCCTCCTTCCATTTTCTCCACAAAGATGGATAGGAATTATCTCACACTTTTCTACTTGTGAGTGCTTCCCGCTCCATCTGTGTGCAGCCTGTGGCTTAAACATGGAGCTGCTGTTGCCATATCTATACAAAAACAGCCTGCATCACACCTTTCTCTTCATGCCATCAGTTCAGCGTTTAGAATTGCTGTATCAACACTTCCTACAAGGAGGGTCTCCATGAGGATCCAGCACTAGTGCTGACAAGGCTGGGCTGTCCAGGATTAGGTGGTCACTCAAGGTCATGCATTGACCTTGCATTTTGAAAGCCTGAGCTCTGTATTTCTAAGGCTCTTTGACTTAAGTTACAGAGAATTACTACATAATTAACGTACAAAAAGGCCTTTAGCCATTCGGGAGCATGTGCAAACCACTCCAAGTATCTTTTCCTGAATCATTATTGTTCAATGTAGTAGTATTGCTTGTTTGGTGGTGGGATTCCAGGGATGTCTGGGGCATGGTTCCCACCAGAAGAGAAGCTCAGAGAGAATAGATTGAGTGCTTTTTTTATAAATAATATGTAAAAGTAACTGATTGGGGTTTTTCCAGGGTATTTGTAACAAATGACAATGCTATCTAAATATTAATGGGTTTTTTTCTTCTTCCTACTATAACTGCATGTTGGTACTGTGTTTGTTGGAAACTACTACTACTCAGAACTGTAGAGTGGGAGGATAAGAGTGAAGATAAGTGGATCCAAATAATTGATATTAGGAAGAAATGGTGGAAAATGTAAAAAAAAACCCAACCCAAAGAAACAGACCAAACTGAACAACCAAACACACAGACCCAAAACAAACAAAAAAAACCAAGGCCAAAACAATTCTGGAAGATGAGTTGGAGTAGTGATCACAATCAAATATTTAGTGTGGAAACTTGAACTTTCCTTCTAAAGGTGAGTCAGCTAAGAAAACTAGAATAATTGTGACACAATTGCTAAGAAAATAATTTAAGAATGCCATAAACAAAAATCTTCTAATTAATAAGTAAATAATTTTAAAAAGGTATTGTCTCATGTAATGTACTGCAGATGCCAGAAAATAGCTGAAGATTTTTTTTTTCCCCTCCTCTGCACAAGGTTAAATCTGACTCTTTCATAACTGTATTTCTTTACAGTTTGATGTCTGTTGTGGTTTAACCTGGCAGGCAGCTAAACACCACAGAGCCGCTTGCTCACTCCCCCCCCAGTGGGAGGGGGGAGAGAATTGGAGATAGAAAGGTAAAACTCATAGGTTGAGGTAAAGACAATTTAATAGGACAGAAAAGGAAGGGAAAATAATGATAATTATAAAAGAATATACAAAACAAGTGATGTACAATGCAGTTGCTCGCCACCCGCTGACCGGTGCCTAGCCAGTCCCCAGGCAGTGACTACTGCCCCCCCTGGCCAACTGCCCCCAGTTTATATGTTCAGCGTGACACCATATGGTATGGAACATCCATTTGGCCAGTTTGAGCAGCTGTCCCGGCTGTGTCCCCTCCCAGCTTCTTGTGTCCCCTCAGCCTCCTCGCTGGCAGGGCCACGTGAGAAGCTGGAAAGTCCTTGACTTAGTGTAAACACTGCTCAGCAACAACTAAAATATCAGTGTGTTAGCACCATTATTCTCATCCTAAATAGAAAGCACAGCACTGTACCAGTTACTGGGAAGAAAGTTAACTCTGTTCCAGAGAAACCTGGACAGTGTCTCAGCATGGACGTTGATGAGAACCACAGACGTAAAGACCTACACGCCCCTTAGTTTGAAGGATAAGAACTAAGCACTGTCATTGCCTTGCTATTCCCCCCTTCTCCTGAATGCAGATCAAATGATCCTTTATTCAGCTGTTCATCGGTGTGGGCCACTTATGATGTTTTTTGTTTCTGGTTCATCTCTTTTTCTTCATTCCTTCTCAGTCTCAAAAATGTAGAGCTTTCATTGGCTTAGCATTGTGATTTAATCCCAGCAGGCAGTCTGAGTACCACCCAGCCACTTGCTCATCTCCCCTGTCCTCCAGTGGAGGAGGAGAATCGGAGGAAAAGACAAGGGAACTCATGGGTTGAGATAAGAACAGTTTAGCAATAGTGATACTAATAATACTGGTGACACTAACATTGCTACTAATAATATGTAATGAAAATGATGGACAATAAAACAAATCATACAGCCGCTTACTACCCACTGATCGATTCCCAGGTTCCGAGTTGCGAGAGCCAGAGCCTGAGAAAAAGGTGTTGCATCAGAGTGAGCCCCAACAAGCGAGAGTGCGAGCGCTTGCCCCCGGCCCACCCCCAACTTCTATACTGAGCATGACATTTTACAGAAGGAACCGCCCCTTTGGTCAGTTTGTGTCAGCTGTCCTGGCCGTGTCCCCTCCCAGCTTCCTGTAGGGAAGAAACTGGAACACAGGTGCAGTGTCAGAAACGGAAAAGTTCCTGGCTTGGTATAAACATTCCTTAGCAACAGCTGAAACCACCGGTTATCCGTATTCTCAGCACAAATCCAAACCATAGCCTCATACTAGCTACTGTGAAGAAAGTGTAACTCTATCCCAACTAGAACCAGCACGCCTGGGTAGATTAAATTGCTCTTTATGCAGTACCTTAACATGAATAATGTAAAGTACACTTGTTTATGGTGAGGCATGCTGCTGAACTCTGTTTTCGCCGGGTTAGTACTTAGTTAGCTAGGTTAGTACTTGCTAGGTACTCTCTTAGCTGCAGGAAGTGGTAGGAAGATTTGAAATGCATTGTGTTGGGCAAGGGTTGTTTTTATTTAAGGCTTCTTCCCCAGCTATAATCTGTCAGAGGGCAGAGTATCAGATCAGGTTGAAGGGGTAATGTTTCCTGCAATTCCAAATTCTCTGTTTATCCTTTGAATTCAAAGAAAGTTTTTTGCAAGGGCTGGTGGGACTTTAGCCAGAGGGTGCTAATTAACTCTAATAGATCTTACCTAGCCAAATCTCTGCGCATTGGTCTGCAGAGATGCCTTTTAAAGCAAGACTTAAAGCTGTTTCTCTGTAAATGGTTAGATATTCCAGTGATTTCCAACACTTCTGTATGCCTAGATTACTTCTGTTATTAGTTAATTTGCACAAATGTCTGCTTTTTACACAGATAAGCTGAGTTTACAATTATCTTGATAATGCCTAAAAGATAATGGAGCATGACTCAGAATGGCTGTCAGTAACTAGGACCGATCCTGCCAGATGCAGAAACACGGTTTCACAGAGAGAACCCGGCTATGTGCTGTGAAGTCTCACCTGAAGAGTAACTCTTGCAAAAATACTGGGATTATTCTCCACAACCATTTTTACTGTGAGATCCTGTACGGATGTTTCACATAGCTTAAACATCAGGAAGGTACAACTGCATGTTCCGTGTGTTCATCGAATGCCGGTGAGCTGCTGGTTAGCGGTACTGGACTGCCTGGCACGGGGCGAATGCGTTTACGGTGTTAACCCGTGAATCAGAGTTTCTGTTCTTTAACTGTCTCAAGAGCGCGAATCTTTCCTGCAAGAGCTGGCAGGTTTGAGAGCGAGCCTGGCATCTCTCTGGCATGGAAAAAAGCATCAGTTGCTCTGTGAGGGCTTTACTTCTGGATACTCCTACCTTTACAGCAGACAGGTCCCTTCACTCACCTGTCACCTCTGTCACCACATGCTCCCCATGTCTTGATTTACCCTGAATACCGCTTTGTCTCTGTACCCTGTCTGAGATGCTAGCCCCCCTTGCTTACGACAGAGAACTCTTGGAAGCTGTTAATTTACAAATCTGAAGGTGAGAGCCCATGTTGTTCAGGCCAGAGTCCACTGCATTTCATTCATTGCCCTTTGCACGTAGTTCATGTGACTGCTGCGTTCGTTAATTTACTGTGGGCTGGTTATGTAACCCTGCTTCATTCAGCTCTTGAAGTTGAGACAGTGCAAACTTAAGAACGACTTCTTCTTCTCCTTGATTGTGAATTATAAATGAATTGCCAGTACTTTCCTTCCCTTCTAGTCCCATGAGGACATGAACCTGAAATCAGCGTGTACAGTAGAGGCCAAAAAACCCAGATGTAGCCTGGTGATTATGGTACTTGCTACTTTTAAAGGTTAACAAAACAAAACACTCCCTAAACACAGAGAGTGGTTGTGTGTGCATTCCTTCAGGAGGTAAACACAGGTAACTTTAATATTGCTTAAAATAGAAGTGGAGGGAGAGGGCCAGGAACGAGACTGTTCTAAGCAGGAGCAAGGCAGGGAAGTGAAAGAAATGAGAAAAGTGAGGTGTGTCGGGGGGGGGAAGTCCAAGCATTTAGATTTCATATTTTTGTAACCGTTGTATTTAAAATGAGTAATTAATCCTGGAACCTCACACAGTTCACTTTATCCTAGTTAAATCACTTGTTTTGAATGTTCTTGAGATAACTCAGTTGCTTCCAGGTGAAGAGAGAGAATGAGTTTTAATTCATTGGGGATGTTGTAAGCAGCTACCTTAAGTTTATTTCACATAAAAGTAGCTACTACTGAGCCTTTTCACAAAAGGACCTGGGTGGTTTTTTTTTTTGCTAATACTTGATCATTTATTGCTCATCTTGCATGAATGCTGGGTAAAGGAAAAGGAATTTTCTGTGGTTTGCCTTCAGCGGTTATTTCTTGGAACTAAAAGTAATAGTCAAAGATCAAGTGCTAGATGTGAGATTTGCGCCCAAATGTTGCAAACTATCGAAATCTTTTGTATAGTGGGCTCTTATTTCCCATAATACTGTCAAACCCTACAGGCTTCTGCTGCTTTTGCGACAGGAAAACAGGAGAAAGTACAGTGGAGCAGTCAAAAATCAAACTGTGATTTCAGTAGATTCAACTCTGTGCCGAGTACCTAACCAAGCTCTGAACTCAGTAAAATATGTAATATCTAAGGAACTTGATTAATTAAGATCTTCCTGACTCCAAACCAATATTAAATATCTTTGCAGGAACACTTAGTCAGTCTGGATGAACCAGCCTCGGAAGCTGGACAAGAAGCTCTGCTTAGACAAGAGCAAGCAAAAATCATTCGTTTTGAAAGGCAAGCGGAAGAGTTCCTCAATGCAGTCTTTTACAGAAAAGGTTGGTTTGAACGTGGTGGGGGGAATGCTGTCTCTCGCTGGTCATTTTGCATGCAATGCAGGTATCAAAGATCTGACGTTCAAGTTGTCGCTGCGTGTTCGTTATGTTTCAGTTGTCTTGTGTGTGTGTGTGTTTGTCAGGAGTAAAAATCAGCTCTCGAGTGAGGTAGCGATACGACAGTGTGGGCATAACGTTTAGCTCTAAAACTGATCTCTCCCCGAGAACGCTGTGTTCCGCACTTTTGGAGGAATGGCTCACTTCTTACCCAGCAGAACTGCTCCCCTGAAACCAGTGTTTAGGTGAGTGGGCTGTTTGGAAGGAGGGGCAAGTGGCGGTGGGGATTTTTAATTTTCATGGGATCTATACTAATGCGTTTTTTCTTAAAGGTCAGCAGTCTTCTCACTGTGGTCTGTGGTGATTACCCACCCCACCCCCAGCAATCCACAGCATAAAGTATTGTTGGAATAGTGCTAAGGGGGGATATATGGAGAATTCTGAACGCGATCAGCAAAAGAATTGGGAAATCGGGGCTGTAGAATATGCTGAGAACAATAACAGTAGCTCAGTGCTAGAAAATCCTGTAGGTTTCTTCTGGAGAGTCATGTCGGTTACGCTGTGCTCGTAAGAAGGCACAAAACTCATTTCTTTGGCTTTTACCAATCTGAGAAACGGGAATCCAGAGGTTCCTTCCAAACGCATCCTGAATGAAAGTACATTGCACTTATCAGCCTAGCCCATGTGCGAGAAAATCTGCCAAATCAGTAATTCCAACCTGTCTGCTGGGGGACAATGCGAGGCTGCGGTTTAACAAATTAGAAATGGCTGTAGCCAGTCCTCAGCCCTTCCTCCCAGTGACCAAAATATTTAAAGGTGTTGAAAGTAGATAACAGTATCTTAGCCTTTCTTTTATGACTCAAATGAATCAATACAAACTATACATTATGATGCATTGCATGAAGTATAGAAGCACGTAGGATGGGAGGAAGGATAGCTATTGCATTACTGCTGATAGCTCAGATAATGCCTTTATTCCGAGTCTTCCTTTTCAGTGTGGGTTGGTGTGTTTTTTCTTTTAAGGCTAAGGTTTTCTTTTGCTTTTAGATTCATGCCATCTCTCTTTAAATGCAGAAGGGATGTAAGAAAAAAAAACTCTAGAGAAAACAGACTTTCTTCCCTATTACTTTTCTGGTGAGAGGAAAAAAAAAATGCAACTCCATCACTTCCAAATTGTTTATTAAAGGCTTCATCCCTTTGACACTGAGCTTAAATTCTTTGGTGGAACCTGTGTGCGTGTCTTATTAGAGGTGCATACTTCCCCAATTGTTGGAAGACTCTTGGCAGATACATCAGTGTGACAGTGAGGGGTGTAACACTGTCCATGGTCAGCTACACAGGATGAAGAAAACGAAATCGCTTCAGGTGCCTAAGAATCTTTGAGATTTTTTTTTAGTTTACTCTTGCTTTCCTTCCTCTGGCAGAGCTGTGCTTGGTGCAAGAGTAATAAGGGAGGGGAAGGAGCCTGGCAGGAAGTCAGTTCTGAATCCTTGAGGCATCTTTGTCAGGCCTGACTGTATTTAGGTTGTTTGAAAGGTTATTCTAACTCATGCCACACCGTAAGATCCCCAGGCACTGTCGTACCACAGAGGACGCAAAGAACGGCAGAAATCTGACACTCCGACGTTGTTCAGAGATGCTTGGCTCTCCTGCCTTTGTGCCAGCGCTTGGTTCTGGTTTTCTTTCCATCCTCGCTGCCAGTGCCGCTTGAGACTAGTGTTTTGTAGCCCAGGCAGATCAGAAAATGCAGATGTTGTGCAAACAGATGCCTGTTGCATGTTGAGGACATGCGCTGGTGCGCTTCACACACGTAGGCAATCAGCAGGATCGGCTGAAACTTTCTGAACAGGCTTACTGACCGCTAATCTTAGGCCCTTTCTCCCTGCTTTCTGACTCAGTAGCGCTGCTGTCCAACGCTCATGCTTCCCAGGGAGAGCCGGGCGGTGGTACCCGGTCGTCCGTTACCTCTACCTTCTGGCAGGGTAGGACCTTCTTTTCATGCTTTAGTGAGATGAGACCTGTTTTGTTTGCTACTGCCCTTCTAAGATTTCAGCCCAGATAAACTACACAAAAGCTACTAAGGTTTTAAAGCTCAGAGGTACAGCTTTAGACATTTATAGCTGATAAATATCTGCTGTATTTTTCTTCTCTGAGAATCTCTGTTTTAATTAATTTTAGTTTATTTTTCTCAAAAAACTTTGACACTTGGAGTCAACATAAACATCTGGTTTATTTCAAGTGATGCTGCAGAGGCACCAGCAAATATTTTTCACCCTATGAACAGCTTTATTCCTTAACATTCAGGCTTTACATTAAACAAGAAGCCCTTAATGTGCTAAGTAACTACCACTGTGGTTGAAAAATGAGTTTGGTGTCCTGAATTAAAGAGCTTATCTTGAGCAGCACTAGAAACCCCTCCGTAGTCACTCTGTGCTGATTCTTTGAACTTGCAAATTGCAAAGATGCATGGTGGTGGGCATATATAGTATTTTCTCCCTGAATTTGGAAATGTGTTCAGCTGAAAGCATTACTGACTTGTACATGTGAACATGGCTGCAGAGGAGAGGCATGATTCTTCTTCAGAAAGCATAGGGGCCCTAGAGCTCTGCATTCAGGCCAGCCCCACTCGTGTGTGCTGCAAGCACGTGCCAAACGGTTGGCATCAGTACGATCATGCCATCGGTTTGTGTCCCTCTCGGCTCTCCTCGAGCCCTTCACAGGTCCTCCAGCAGGTTAGAGAGCTTAGAGAAATGAAAGAAATGCCACCCTAGCAGAGAAAAGCCTTCGTGCTTCTCCAGGCTTGTGTCCTGGTGGACCATTTGGGAAGAAAGTGAGAACATAAATGTACCTGAATTGAAGTTTAGCTCATCTGTTGGCGATTTCTTAAAACTCTGGTGTCGCATCTGTAGCAACAATGAAACATCCTGTAGATTTTACAAGAAAATGATTAAGTATTTACATAAACACCTCAGGAATTTACAGCTATGATACCCCTATAAGAATACACGTATGGACTGCATAAGGTGTTATACTTAGAAAGCTGGACCTAACAGAAGGGAATTTGTGCTTGATTAAGTATTTAAAGCTCAATGTGGTTTTTCATCAAGAAGCACAGTGGCTGCTTACTGTTGCTCTAGTTTGTGGGCACCTACACGCTCAAACCTTCACGTTAATCATCCTTTATGGGTACTCTAAAGCTGTTTACTTGGATTGATGCGTTTTTAACAAAAATGGTGGTAAAAGGCAAATCTAATGCTGAAATGCCCCACAGAAGATTTTTCTAATGCTTCTAATAGTTCAATCTCAATAGATTACCTTTCAACCTGGGCATTTTTTTTTTTAAGAGGAAGTAAACACTTTACTATTGTTCCATTCTGAGAGCTGCTTTTAAAGATTTGTTTGGTCTTCTACTGCACAATTTTCTCTGAATGTTTCTTGAGAAATAGAAAATCAAACCTTTCGAGCCATTTCTGGAGTTGTGGGATGTTTTGTGGTGTGTTGGGCTTTTTTAAACTTGATTTGGCCAGAGAATACAAGTAGTGTTTGGAGGTGAAGTGGCAGGATTTAGCTTCTGTGATTTAGAAGTTACCAATTTGCTTTAACATCACAAATTACTACTGGTCTAAAATAGTGGGTTTTGCTGGTATATTTTTTTGGGTTGCCCACATCCCCAGATACCTTTGTCTTTATGCCCTTTTTCACATAAATAAATTGAAATACCTACCTTTTCCATCTCGCAATTCTTACTAATAGATTTAGCAGCTCTTCTAGAAATAGAATTAATTTTCGTGTGCCACGTCTTGGTTTTTTGTATATGTGAAAGCTTTTCGGGTAATGCCTGGTGCTGCATTGATTATAATGATAGAAATATCAAAAGGAATAGATAGAATGGCATGGAAGACACTTGAACGTTTGATCTTGATGTGAATTATTTGGAAGAATCAGAACTATAGGGCTTTACTTCCCAGTAAATTTGTAGGGGACTGCTGCAACTCTGTTCCCTCTTCTCCCCTTCTGTAGCTGCAGGTAAGTTACTTGATTCTTCCACTGAATAACCTGTTCAAATTTTTTTGGAATGAGCTTCACTACTTGATACTTTTCTTCAAGAGTCTAGCTTTCCTTTCCATTTCCACACCTCTTAAAGGTCTGGTCAATTATATCTGTATTTGAAAACAAAAGATGAAATTGCATGTTTTTCTTTGAGAACTGTTATTTTGGGAAGGTTATACCAGAATCGGCAATGGTTCTTGTTCAGATATTCTAAGACTAAAGTAGATTTTCTACAGAAACTATTTATCTTTAGCTTTCATTTTTTTCCCCTATATTTTTTTCTTTTTAATTTTTAAATAGACAATGACTTAATATAAAAGCTGTTTTACTTAAAGCGCTTCCTTAAAAACCAATCTCTAATATTTGCAGACAGTCCTAGGGTCTCTGACCCCAATATTCCCCTAGTGGCCCGTGAGATCATGCAGCGAATGATCCGACAGTTTGCTGCTGAATATACCTCAAAAAATAGCTCTACTCAGGACTCCAGCCAGCCCAATAGCACAAAGAACCAAAGCCTGCTGAAAGCATCTCTGGTCGCCTCCTCTCCCACGGCTGCAACTGCTCAGAACCCTGTGCTCAGCAAACTTCTCATGGCTGACCAAGACTCACCTCTGGACCTTACTGTCAGAAAGTCTCAGTCAGAACCTAGTGAACAAGGTAGGACTCTTATCAGCATCTTGCATCCTGCGGCAATCCGTTAATGGCGTTCTTCTTGCAGAACCAGACGATGAGAAGTTTGTGCTTTCGCATAAAACGCTAAGTGGAAAGGTGGCGGGTGGTTTTAAGTAGGGTACCGGCGAGCTAGATGTGGCTGGGAGAGAGGAACGTAGGCCCGTAGCCATGAACGATTTTGCTGAGGGAAGGGCAAAGGGGTTGGACGTGCTCCAAACTCTGGGGACAAGCGTGCTGTTCCTGATGGGAGCTGCAAGAAAACAGTCTGCCAGAATAGATGGACGCATGCTGGTGAGACAGGTTCACGTGGTCATGAAAACCACGATGTCTGCTTTCTGAGGAGCAGAACGCAGTCTGACAGAAGGACTTAGTTATTTATGGGTTTAAACTGAAAGCA